CACCGACTGGGTGCTCGTTAGCAGCGTATCCTGCTCTACGCAGGTGTTTAGATGTTCTTTAACAGGCAGAATTGCTGCTTTATCTGTATATCTGTTCAGACAACAACAGACCTGAGGTTGAACCACTGACACCTTTTCATTTATAAGAGAAATGTGCTTTGTTCAAAATATCATCTCCATATCTTCCCCTTTCAGCTGACAGCCTGTTGTTGATATTCATCAGTTGTTAAAGTGAAATATTCCTTTTCTACTTGTCAGTATTTGTTAAACACCAGTGTTGTGCTGCTCTGTAAACCTCTGTCCTCTCTGCCCTCCGCCCAGCAGCCGGGGCGCCCACGGGGACCCTGTGCGGGGAGCCCTCGGCCCCACTGAGGAGGTGCCAGCAGCCACTTCTTTTCCCCAAGAACCCTCAGCCGGAGCTGACCACCATCCACAACTCTGGGGCCGCCATGGTCTGGAAGGAGAGACGAGAGGTGACTGTCATGTCCTGTTTCCAAAACACACAGTCATAGATTAAGTTTAATTCTAAACGGGTCAGTGGAAAATTCACTGGGGGATGGATGACTTTATCTGTCTATTTGAAACGGACCCAGGATGCTGTGTGATAGATTTCCTCCGCTGACGCTGTAATCCCTGTGGAGGTTTGGTCTTTATGCTGGTGTGGATAGAGTTTTCTAACTGAGTAGTCTGAATAAAGAAACAGCGAAACCGAGTCAGTGGGTCCACAAAGAGAGGGCCTGTCTACCCAGCAGAGGTGTGTCCTGGTGTCGCTCATCAGTGGGACCAGGAACACTTGGTTTCTGTGGTATTTAGGTTCAGGTTTAGGGTTTGAATAAGAACAAGAACTGAGAGAAGTCTGGTTCTGTGGTGATCTGACCATCTTGTCTCGTGTTTTTGTTGCAGGGTGAAAATGGCCAAGAACCAAATGACGGTGAGTATCTGGACCCCTCAGCTGTTTACAGAAAGGCTTTTAGGTTCCTGTCACACTCTGGCTGTATCTAAACAGCAGCGCATGACTCCGGTTAGCCTGAAGCTCCACGGTGCTGCCGAACAGATACGGTGGTTCTGCTCTGGTATGCTGTCAACATGTCTCTCTCAGTCAGCTCCACGTGACCTCTGTGATGTGGCTGCTCCCTGTCATGATGCTGGATGTCTGTAGTCAAGCAGCTGTTCTTTTGATGGCAGGCTTCAGTCGGTATGAAAAGCTTTTTATGAAGCTCCAGGTGTGTGCTGCTAACAGAGCGTCTGCTCCTCACATAATGGAGGCTTCAGAGGAAACATTACAGCTAAGCTCACTTTCTGTGAGTGCGTGCACTTTGAAGGGTTTTGATGTCTTTGTGTTCACTTAAACCAGTTTAATAACACCCTGTACCTGGAAGTCCTTTCACGTCTCCTTGAAACAAACATCTCAGAGTGAACCAGCTGGCAGCAGAAAACAGGGGTGTGCTGTTTTGCCCAGGCACAGAAATATTAAATATACGAGCCTCTGGATCCACATGGACCAGCCGACGTGGTCCTGATATCATTGGCACCAGTCGTGTAGACCTTCATTCAGCCGCTCTGCTTCTCTGGTGGCAAGCACACAGTGTTTTGGAGCCTTTAAAAGTGCATCATATGGAACATTTCAGTAGAAAAATGCCCGTCAGTGTGCAGATGCAGGAACAATGTCGTCACTGATGACCGTCGATGCCTCAGCACTTCATTACAGAGCTGGACAAACTCAACTGCTCTACTTTTAGTCTACAAATCCAAAATGCAGAGACTCCCCCTTCAGTCTGGACCCACCTGAGGGCTGTTTAGTGTCAGCGGGCGTGACCCAACCTGAAGCCCAGTCAGAGCTGGTTCCGGGTTTCCTTCTGTTCTGTGTTTGCTCCCATCGAAGGGACTCGACTCGTCTTCTGCACAAAACAAACTACAGCAAGAAGGCCCGAGCATGAAAACCACGTTTATGTTTTTATTCATCACCGACTGAAAGCACGTCTGATGTGTTCCAAGTGTAGCACAGAAATCAAACCGAAAACCTTTTTGACAATAAAACTGGTTCTGATTATTGAACTGCCTTTAACTCGCCGGTGATGTAGTTCGATCTCCTTGTTTTACGGCTTCTTCCTCCACTGTGAAGTTATATCAGCCTGAAAACAGTCAACGTCTTGGAGATTTTGTTTTGTCATCTAACATGAATAATTTTAAGTATAATAAGTCCAACTGCACTGTATATAAAAACATGAAACAAAAAGAATCTCAGCGGCATCGTCCTGTTTTTCTGAGATTTTAAAACATATTCATAATTCAACAGGGGCAATCTGTAAAATATGTTTAGAAACACAAAGGACCGATTCTCTGTCCCTAATAGAGATTTTCCAAACAGCAGCACTTAAAATAATTCAGCTTTTCTTTGACATAAATCAAAGCTTAAACCATTTTTTTAAAAATGGAAATAAAAGGCAAAAAGCTGCTGTGGTTTCAGGTCAGATGTTGTAAATGAATGAAGTACTATTAAAGTTTGTTTTTAATTTGATCACCAGTAAATTAAAACTTTTCTTTTTCTTGATATTACCTGTAATTTACAGAAACATCAAAAATCTGCAACATGACCTCAGACAGGTCAGTAAGAGCTGTTAGCAGATGTTCAGAAGCCTTCATGAGGGTTTAGCAGGTAGCAGTGACCTCTGGCTTCAGAAGCTCATAAGTCACACATTCAAATATACTCTAATATTTTCTATATTAGTTCTAATGTGACTGTATTACAGAGAACTGTGAAAACATCACATGCTGCTGTTCTAAAGGCAGAGAGAGCTTTCATGGTCCACCTCAGTGTTCTGTGTGAATATGGGTGTTAAAAAAGACTTGAAAGAAGCGTTCTGCTGCATCCGTCCGCTGTCCGGTGAAGCGCTTTGGCCTGAAGCCTGTTTCGTCTGCGTCTGTCGTTACCGATGCCAGCTTCTGTAATCGGCCTCTTTGCAGCCACTGATTGAGCAGATAGACGTGTTCGGTGTGGAGCGTGTTTTGGCCGTGTGGCTCCGTCACACCTTCAGCATGAGTCAAGCTGTCGCCTGTCTGTCTGCAGAGTACCGTGAGGACGGCGAGGTGGAGCAGGAGGACCAGGAGAGGGAGACGCCACAGCCCTCCGCCCCGTCGGGAGGCGCCAGCGCTGCCGCCGGCGGCCGAAGAAACCCTCCAGGTGGCAAGTCCAGCCTCATCCTGGGTTGAGACCACTCCTGTTCTTTTTCATTCGAATGCTTTTTTTATTTTTTGAAGATAAATACCCCCCACCTCCACTCTGTCCCTCCTCATCGACATCACACCTCCCTCCCTCCTCCCTCACCTCCTTCACGTGTCCTCTCCCTCCACCCTCAAACCTTTTGTTTTAATCCTTTTTTCTATTAAAAAGAAAAGAAAACTGTTGACAAAAGCACTTTATGTATCTCGCCCACCCTGCTCCATTTCAGCCCATCCTGTAGAGCACTGCGCCTGCTGGGAAAGGCATGACGTTTAGCTTGTCCTTCATCCTCCCCTGTTGTAAATGGTAAAGGAAAAAATACTAAAAAAGATTTGATGCGTGGATTTCTAAATACAATAAAGATTCATATGAATTTGCTGCGGCTGATCTCTGCTTTGTTTCTTGTCACTGCTCTGATGAAATACTGGAGCTGAAGAGACACAAACATGTGAAAGCATCGGTTCTGGTAACGCTCCTTTTCAGTTTACGTGTTCATAAATGTCTCCAGCAAAGCGCTGGATGTTATTTATGTCCAGAGGAGCGGCGGTGGAGAACAGAGACAGACTCTGGCCAAAGTAATCAGCATATCTGCTGCCAGTTATGTCAGAAGAGACGCTGCGCCTTCATGACATCATACGCTGGATATGTGTCTCCTCTGGTTTAAGAAAGGCGCTGCATTTTGCTTTTAAGGCTCACAACTGATGCTTTTAAAACAAAAGGTGGAGAGTGATTCATGCAACATGTGATGAAACACTCTGCTGAGCAGCGCTGCTCACCAATGGCTTTATTTGGTCTGAGTCTGCAGGAATGCTCTGCAAGCACCTGGTGCTCCAACAGGAGCTCACTTCAGTTGTTACCTCAGTTACATGCTGCAAAACCGGTGAGTAACAGCCGTATAGGTGCCTACATGTTCTGCAACCCTTTGTGGAAAATAAGCAGCCAAGAAAATTGGAGCAACAAATTAATGAAAAGCTTCAACTTCAGAATTGAGGAAGAGATTTTTCCTGCAAGTAGGAACCATAACAGCATTTACAGTATGGTCGCCTATAGACAGGCGTATTATGGTACATAACAGTTACAGCCAGAGAGATCCATCCATCCATCATCTCTACACCTTCATCCTCACCAGGGTTCCCAGCTGACTCAGGGTGAAGGCAGGTTCACCTGGACAGGTAACCAGTCTATCACAGGGCTACACTTAGAGACAGACAACCAAGCACACTCACATTCACACCTACGGACAATTTACAATCACCAATTAACCTCAACATCTTTCTGGACTGTGGGAGGAAGCCGGAGAACCCGGAGAGAACCCACGCTGCACGGGGAGAACATGGAGACTCCACGCAGGAAGATCCCGGGTGTCCTCACCGGGACGCCAACCGGCGACCTTCTAGCTGTGAGGCGACGATGCTAACCACCAAGACACCTGCAGAGAGATGACAGACATAAATCAGTTAAGCAGCGAGTCATTTGTGAAGGAGGCCAAAAGTGAACAAACAGCCACTGAGGTGATGAGCTGTTGAGCAGGACTTCATAGATCTGTCGACATGTTTGACTCCATTTAAACAGGATCAACTTTATCTGCAGATGAAGGAGAGCGTCGGGCTGGTTTCTCATGACTTCAGGCTGCACCTCAGCACTGTCAGCACATTTACCTGTAGACAGGTGACCAGTTAAAGAACAAAACATTCAGTTTCTTACTGAAAAATATCACAAAATAAACTGTGAAATACAGATTTTTTAAAAATATTAAAATATTATAATGGGATGATTTTAAATTAGATCATTCTTTTTTTTTATTTTATATTTTTTCTGTGTTGTTGTTTGTTTGCCTTCCTGATGCGTACCGGCCCGGTCCACTGAACCAGCCAGTCGACCCAAAGTCTGCCACAGGTCTGAAACTCGTTCAGGCAGCTGCAAACACAATAGTCTTTAATTCACATCATTCTCTTCCTCTTCAGTCCCTGTGGGTTGAAGCGCTGAGCCTCCCAACAACAGAACCGTTTGATGGCAGGTAGAGGCGACACTCAGAACACCTGGGCTTTGACCTGCAGTAACGGAACAAGCTCTGCAAAGCAAAACGTCCCACACAGCTTAACACAAGGTGGCCATGGGGTCGAGCTTTTCCTTCATTTGTCTGTATGCCCAGAAGGAACACCTCTGATCACACAGGACTGCCACGGCCTGGATCTGAGTCTCCTTGTCTCAGCGTATTGTTGACTAATGACTGCTGCTAAGCTTCTTACTGTGAAGCTGCAGGGGTCTAGAAGGCAGATCCTCCTGTGAAGATCAGCCACGATAAATCTGATCTGCTCTGACTGGCAGATTTTAGCTGCTGCAGAAACCCCAGGCGACAGAGATGGGTGCTAGGCAGGCTGAGCCGACCGGGCCTGTCTGAGGGGAGGACTTCCTGCCAAACCGAACTGTAGTGTTCAGGCTCCATTTGTGTGCGCAGCAGCCCATGGATCAGAAACACAGTAAACGTCCTGAATCCTTTCCCTGCAGCTCGTAGCAGCGCCGTGGCCCAGCGGCGAGGCTCAGCCCTCCTCCGCCATGAAAGGCATGCGTGGGTCACTCAGGATCAGGAAGACAACTTCCTGCCCTGGAGAAGTGCCAGGATGTTGGAGTGCACTCAGTGAAGGCTTGTTTTCTGTAAGTGCAAGCCCTGAGCCTTTTATTAAACTCCGAGGACGTGCAGCTTCCTCAGCCGGCACACATGACCAGGCTGTACTCAGCTACAGGCCTCAAGTACTCATACTTTATTTATACGTCTATACTCCTACTTTATTTCAACATTTAAAAATATACGTTTACTACTTTATTTCAATATTTCAACATTCATGCTTACACTCGATGTATTTTGCAGCTGTAGTCATGAGCAGATGGTTTTATGGTGAATTAAACCAGCAGGAAGTTAAACTAACTCTTGCTGCAGCTGGTGACAGTGACATCATGCAACACGCCTGTTAATGGATAATACCAGCAGAACAACACTGATCATCCTCACTGCACTCCTGTAGCGGATGGTATCTACTGATGCTCAGGTGAGCATTTTAATTTGATACTGGTGCATACAAGTAGAAGCTGTTGTCATCTCCTCCTCCTGCTTCTGGTCTCTGTGAACATGCCGTGAGCATTTCTTATCCCATCTGCCTTTTGTCCTGGTCAGCAGCTAATCAGTAAAACTGTTTCAGAAACAGACTCTCTCATCCATCCGCCTCAATCATCCTACTAATCTTTCTAGAAAGACGGGAGATTAGCGTTTCCCTCCCCCACGGCCATATGTCAGTTTATTGAACTGATGCCCTGCGATGAATGTTGAAGCATCCCTTTGCTCGTTTGCAGCTACTGACAGGTCCGTTAGAGCACGAGCAGTCCAGACGAGGCCTTTAGGGAATCAGGATTTGTGAGTGCACGAGGTGAGTCATGAGTCTGAGTGACGTGGCATCAACCAGTCCATCAATCCTCCCTCAGGGCGCTGAGTCAGCAGCCAGGCAGCCAGCACCATGGTCCAACAAGACTTCCCTGGTCTGCCGTCTTCATGCCCCTCTGTGACCAGATCGTCTGAATGCCTCCCACCCACCAGGAGCCCCAAACAGGAAGCGCTGGTTGGTAAATGGACGGCTGTTTCCGTAGCGACAACAGGACCATAACAACAGCACTGAGCCTAATTAACTGGATGAGATGGACAGAAGGCTTTTATTCTGACGGAGCAGGAAGTGGGTGTCTTTTCTTTTTACATTCATCTCCTGAGGTGTGGTTAGTTGTTGATCGACTCACTGATTGGCTGAGTGTATTATTCTGTCAGGTTTTCAGCTCCTCATCTTCTGATGAGTCATACTTACATGTAGAAGTGTTACTGATTACACACCTGTAGCTAGAAATACCATAAAACTACAGAACACTACCATCTCAAAAAATACAGCAATATTTATCATTAGAATACAGTTTGTTTTCTTTCTTTTTTTTTTTGCTTAGAAAGGGCAGGACAAAACATTTCAATGTCCTTCCCCAGTCTTTGTGTGTGTGTGAGCACCTAAAAGTCCTCGGATGAAGTTCTCCATCGGATGCTGCTGGTGTTTTGAGGCTGTACTTGATGCCATCCCAGAGGGTCGGTCTTCATGTGTCCTTCTGAGGCTTTGTTTTGCCTCATTCACCCTCTTGTTGGCCATCATCCTTGCTGCTCGTTTCGTTATATTGCTTGTTACCGGTCTTCATCACCACATTAATAGGAACCAACAAACAGAACCACTGTGGGAGCTGACAGCGATGTGAGAAGAGTTGGAGGACGAGCAGGTTACCGTAACTCAGACAGGCATTGAAGGAGAAGCTCTCTGAAGCTGAGGGCGATACAAAGTCTGCTCTAACTGGGGCTATGAATTTGATATATATATTTATCATATGTCCTCAGTGTTGGGCTGCAGGTGACTCGGTGGTTCGCACCGTGGCCGCACAGCTAGAAGGTTCATGTCCCGGTGAGGACACCCAGGATCTTCCTGCGTGGAGTCTCCATGTTCTCCCCGTGCAGCGTGGGTTCTCTCCGGGTTCTCCGGCTTCCTCCCACAGTCCAGAAACATGCTGAGGTTAATTGGTGATTGTAAATTGTCCGTAGGTGTGAATGTGAGTGTGCTTGGTTGTCTGTCTCTAAGTGTAGCCCTGTGATAGACTGGTTACCTGTCCAGGTGAACCTGCCTTCACCCTGAGTCAGCTGGGATAGACTCCAGCCCCCCATGACCCTGGTGAGGACTAAGGTGTAGAGATGATGGATGGCTGGAACCTCAGTGTTCCTATTTCAACAGTGTAATACGTTTATTCTACAGTTGCCTGTTACCGTGCTCATTCCTGTTGGCTCCTCTACTAAATATATTTATATATTTTATTTGTCTTATTTCATACTTGTATTTTGCACCACTGGAGTTGTCTTTTCATGTCGTTCTACTTTGTGTATGATGGCAATAAAAGCGTTTTATCCTCTCCTACCACCAGTCAGACCAGTGCTCTCCACTAGAGGGCAGCTCAGAGCTCTGCTGACTCCACACCAGTGACCTACTTTCAGCTGAGACACCATGAACCAACACCCAGCCATGATGCTGTACTGGACTTTGTCATGTCTAATGCTCTTTGTTATTTAAAGGATGTTTTCTGAGACATTTAAAGCTTTGACGGTTTGTAGCCTTGCAGACATGATGCTCCTGTTGCTGTGGACTTCATGGACCTGAGCCGTCTGTTGGAGCTTCAGCGTCACATGTTGTTGTGAAAAACTGTGAAACTGAAAACTCCTGTTGTTCTGGAGCAGCGTGGCCCGGTAGCACTGCTTCACCTGACAATCAAAGACGGGTTGTTCCATCTCAGACCAGCACACAGTCTCTGGACGAACATCTGTGATGTGCCTGAAAATGTTACAACTAGGATATGAAAAAGTTTTCACTTGACATCACAAAGAGTTTATGAGATAAATTTGTTTAAAACTTTCTTGTCTTCCCACTTTCAGCAAATTTCAGGTCATGTTTGAACCTCAACATGTCAGGAAGTATTAAAGGAAAAATGTGAATAATGTAGTTTCTGAAATGTTTCCTGTTATTTCTCATCACGCCATTGATTCAGAATGAAACCTGATAAAAATGGGTATACGGGAAACTTTATTTAAAACTACCTCAGAAGGTATAGTTTATGATCACATAAAAAAAAAAAAAAACACCTTTCAAGCAAGTGTGAGCAGAAGATCAGATCGGCTTTATGGAGTCCTTACTGGGTTACAGCAGCTGATGAGGCGTAATCAGGACAACAGAAGCACAATCAGACTGAAAATAAAGAGCTAACAGAGACAGTAGTGACGGACAGACAGACAGGAGTGTCCAGACCTGAAGGCCTCTGATGTTTGTGTCTCTGAGGTGAACAACGGTGAGTTCATTCAGGAAGATAAAACCTGTTTACTGAGCCTATGAGCGTGTTTTATACGTCCTGTTATTGTTTTATACTTGAACTAGTTTCTCTTTCTAGATGTGAGACATGCAGTCGGCTGTGTGATCAGACCCCATGTTTCAAACACGTCCTCCACACTTGTGTTTATCGCTGCATGCTGAGCTTACAGTCCCAGAGCTCATGCCTCCTCTCTGCCTTTGTTCCTGGTGTGTCTGTGATCTGCCCACCTGAGGCTCATCTTCCATCAACCAGACTCTTCCCTGTCAGCCAGACTGTTGGTTCACCGGTGTGGTGCTGATGCTAAGCTAGCTCTCAGCTCCAGTTCTTATTCTCGTAACTCTGCTCCGTCTGCAGCAGAAACCAGCTGCAGTCCTGCCTAACATCTCCAGGCTCATTCCTCTGCACATTTCCAGGATTATTTATCCAACAAACCTTTTAAAATCCTCCCTGTGCTATGCTCAGCATGTGAGTCCACAGCTGGTTTAAACAGCCATTGGTTTCACCAGTAAGCCAGATCTGGTCTGACTGGTTTTCTGTTCTGCTGCCACTGCAGGGAGCTGCTGCTCCGCCACAGCAGGTGCTCTGCTCAGTGCGCTCAGAACATATTAAACCATGATAGTGTCTCACCTCAAACCGTAGAGACGAACAGAACCATCCTGGTTTGACCTCAAAACAGGTGAATTGGTGCTCTGACATTTTGACATAACGAAGCTGATCAGGGTTTGCCTTCGCAGCCACATCAGACCGCCTGGAGGTCACGTGCTGCTTTAAAGCTTCATCCTAGACATGTGGTTGAAAACGCTGAAACGTTTCCTCCCGAACAGCCAGACTGAACCTTGTGTGACTCGCTGCAGTCATGTGTGCTGCCTGGCTGAAGCTGGTGGTGCTGTGTGTTGGGTGCACGGCTCGGAGCGCTGCAGGTAAGCCGGACCTGGTCCTGACTAACGCCATGTGTTTCAGAGGAGACTGCAGCTGTTGTTCTTGTTCCTGCAGAGAACAGAGGGGTGATTTGGAGGGACCTCGGAGAAGATGTGACCATCCAGTGCAGCGGTTCTGTGGACCAGCAGTTCTTCAGCCTGACCATGGGCCTCAATGAAGACACCAACGTTTTCTTCATGGAGAAGAACTCCGGAAAAACCACTATTGCTAATGGATATGCAGGCAGACTCCAGTCAAACGGAGGTTTTTACAAGATGGATATTCTCATCAAAAACCTGACTCTGAACGACACCGGACCGTACTGGTGCGTGTACAAGATGTTTGACCCGAAGAGCAGCAAATCCAAATCCACGAAAGGCCAAGGCTCCGTGCTGCTGGTGGTGACAGGTGAGCCTCACGTTTCATTCATCGTCCAATCACGGTGTTGTTGTTGTTCCCCTGGACCGGAGGCTCCTCGTCCAGCAGCATGATCCAGCATCATCAAATGATCCAGACCGTGTTCAGTCAAATATGAATCTAAGACATAAAGAATTCATCTCACATGTTAAACAAGTGTTCAGGACACGAGACACTTCTCCTTTTGTGTAATTTAGGAAGCGATTTGCACTTTCAATTACAAAGGGTTTAGGCTTCTGTTTGTGTGGTTGCTGTAGTTAGAAAGGCTTGAGATGAAACTGTTTACTCACTTTATCTGAAGACAAGTGGCCAAAGCAGCTAGTGTTTGAGAAAAACTTTATAAAAAGCAGCTGGACTTCTGTTTTAGGTTCCTGAAGACAACTGACTTCAGTCCAAGAGGTTTCTAACTCAGCGTGAATCAGTTTTCTGACTCTGTGACTCAATAATTGGGCAGAAAAGAGAACATGAGTGAAGCAACAGACTACAGGTGTGAATCACAAACTGACTGGGACCGCATGGTGTGATTTGTAGGTGACAGGCATGCAGACACTGACCCAGTACAGGGCTGCGATGGGTCTCATCAGGACCTGGTTCTGGTGTCGGTCGTGATCTCTGCCGCGGTGCTGCTCTGCGTCCTCATGGCCTTCCTCATCCTGATCATCCTCAAGGTGTGTGCTGCTGTGTGTGTCCGTAGGTGTGTGTCTCTGTAGGTGTGTGTTTGATTTATTCACTGAGTCACCCAACTCGAACCTCGTTGGAATGAATCTCGGTGGCTGTTTCCATTTTCCTGTTATGGGCAAAAACACTCATCTGGGAAACACAGCGAGATATTTCCAGTGTCTCTCTATGTAACAATAATAATAATACTACAGAAAATTATTATTATTATTATTGCTGAACAACAGAAAACTGGTCAGTCCAAACATGGTAAAAGATTTTTGAAATAAATGAGAACAAGAACGCCAGATAAAATAATAATAATAATTTTAGAAAACAACACATCCAAGTAATGGAAAGAAGAAGTGGAATAACAGAAAAATAGAGGCTGGAAATGAGGATATAATAGTAAATAAGTAAAATAAATACATGAATAAATAAATAAACAGAATGTAAAAGAGAATAAACTGAACAATGAATAAAGTTGTTAGATGATAAAAATAAATAGATCAATAGAAAGGAAACACATGAATGCAGCCGTCTACTTGAATCTAAAACCTTCCATCATCATTATAAAGCTGTCTGTGGGACTTTAGTTTACATGCATCTGGTGTGTTTGACATGAAAACCACACTGACTGATACCAACAATGATGTTACACAATCCTTCTGCCTCTAACATCCTGTCACCACGTCCTCTGCCATCAGACCAGGTCGCTGCGCGCCTCCGGGACGCCGAGGCGCCTCCCCACCAACGACGTCTACGAGGACATGCGTGGAACGTTCAGACGCTGAAGGTGTGAGGAGCAGGAATCTGTGAGCTCTGCACCAGCGACACACCGGCGGTGCATGTGAAGCAATGCAGCAGCTCGGCCAGTTTCCTCTGACATGCTCAGAAATCTGCTCTGGCCTTTCTGGTCCTCACAGTGAAGGACAGTCGGAACCAGATTCTCACATTTGGAGCAGCGTGACGGTCCACAGCGACTCCATCTGAAAGCAGCAAAGCACAAATATTACAGTCTGTCTTGTCCTTTAGTGGCAAAATCTCATCGTGGGTTATACCGTCATGTATCTTCTGTATATTCTGATTTATTTCATTTTTAATGCATTTAATTTTGTACTTCTTTTGTACTTTTTGTAAGTTTCTAACATGATTTCAAAGCTGGAGGTTATGAAACCGTGTGAAAGGCCTCCCACACAGCCCTCAGAGGAGGACGACTCCTTCTCAGCCTCCTTCGGCTTCTTTCTTTCTTTCTTTCTTTCGTTCTTTCTTTCTTTCGTTCTTTCTTTCATTCTTTCTTTCCCCTCTTTAGACTCTTTAGACTCTTTAGACTCAGACTTTCTTTGTTGTCATTGCACAAAAACACAGTTGTGAATCTGGCACCGAAATGTCGTTGCTGAGCTCCTGGAGTACACAGAACCAGAGCTTGTGAGGCAGTGACTTGTTAATAAATACTGTAAGCATATAAATCTACCTAGATAAGAAGAACTAGTGCAATGGAAAAAGAGCTAAATATAAACAGTCTAAAAAACCGTATACAAATTAAAGTACATGGTCAAAAAGTATGAGGAGCAGAAATATAAACTTCTGGTCTCTTTTCAGTCATTTTGAATCTCCTGTGGCGTCCGATGTCTCCTGTGGTCAGTGTGCGTTTCTTTATGGCTGTTTTGTGTCGCATATTGGTTGGTTTACGTCTCTTTGTCGCCCTGTAGTCTCTTTAACGTCTCTTCATTCACGTGTCTTTTGCATCTTTCTGGGATGTACGCATAGTTCTGGAGTAGCACCAGGGAATCTCTGATCAGTCGTCTCTCCATGTATACAGGATTTCATGTAGAAGTCATGTCGCTGTAAGACACCGGACCAGGTGTTGTATTGATCATATCAGCTGGAATCTGTATGAATGAAACAATACATTTGTGGGATTTGTAGCCTTTGTCCAAATAAATGAACTTTTTTTTAAGGTGTGGTAAAACGGTTTCCATCCATCCATCCATCATCTCTACACCTTAATCCTCACCAGGGTCATGGGGGGCGGAGCCTATCCCAGCTGACTCAGGGTGAAGGCAGGTTCACCTGGACAGGTAACCAGTCTATCACAGGGCTTTTTTAATAAACCAGAATTCAACACAAAATGTGAAATCAAGCATCAGAAATCAGTTTGTGTTCAGAGTTTTCTCTAAACCAAAACTTAAGAGCTTCAGACTCGTTCGGGGGTTATTAGACACCTGAACATGAACCAGGTTCTGACCGAGAACATCCTCAGGTTTTACTGTAAGGAGCCTCCACACACCTGCTATGAAACCAGTGAGCAAACAGGAACAGCTCTGAATGTTTGTTTAATTATTTTGTGGCTGCTCTGTGGTGTAACTTGTGTCAGTGCTTCTTCCACATCAGATCGAGTCACTCACCGCCGGGCTGACATTTTTTCCACTGTTGTATGCCTGACACACTTCTCTCGTATTACAGCACATGATGAGTCAGTGGGCTGTTCAGAGGTTTAAAAGGTTTCAATCATTTTTCACATTCAGTGTTGACTCACACAAGCAGAAGCAACCTTATTAAAACAGCACCAGCGGTGCCGAGTTGGCCCAGTCAGGACGTGTTGTGTTCAGTCAGTGGGCCGAGAGCCGCTGTGTGAGTCAACATGAACACAACACTCATCTGGCAGCAGCGTGCAGAATGTTTACTGTGCAGCCTGTGGTCTGGAGCTGTGACTTCTAGTTTCCTTCACTAACCAGCTCGGTTCAGCCGAAGCACTGAGGCGTGAAATGAATGTTTGTGGAGGTAAATGTCAAGGTGTGTGTTTTGTTGTTGTGTGTCTCTGTCTGTGTGTCTGTGTGTGTGTGTGTGCACAGACACACAACAACAACTACACACAACTTTCTTCACAGTGGGACCACTTGCAAGGAGTCCAGCGAAGACAGAAACTGCACCTCGAGGCGAACAGTGGTCCGCAACGGAAACAGACTCTCAACTTACAGGAAAACTTAAAAACATTTGCAGCAAAGGAGCCGAGAGCTTCTCCACCGCAGCATCTCACAGCGTCTCAGCGTCACACGACGCCTGTGCAGGTTGTTGTTGTTTTCGAACACGTAGAAATGTGCAGCTTTATGTGTCATTTCAGACACATCTCCAGAAGTGCAGAAAACTCCCGATTGTGCAACTGCAGCACTTTCCAGTCGTGTCACAGCTTGTAACAGGAAGCGCCACACCGTAAGTGTGTCAGCTCAGAGCACTGTAAGGTACAGAGAGAGATAATGATCTGCTGCAGCGTCACACAGCCGACGGAGGCCATGACGCTTGTTTACAAAGAAAAAGCAGATGCCTTCTGAAGCCCAACATTCAGAAAGTCTGCTTGAACGTAATCTCTCTTCACCGCTGATCATCTTCCCTCTGCTGCGGATCAGAGGCTGAGCGATAAAAACATTTCTCGTGTTTCTTTAACAGTCACAGAATCTGTCAGAAGCTGTTTTCTGTATCAGAGATCGTAGCGGAAACTGGTGACATTCACTCGGTGCTTTTATCAGTGTGGGCAGGTGTTGTACTGCGAGGTTCGGATTCAAAGGGACACTGATCAACATTTTCCACAGAAATCAGTCATAATGCTTGAAAGTCAGAGAAGTCTCAGTTGCCGTATCAGTGGTGTTTTTGTCTCACCTGGGTTCTGTTGCAGTAACAGGATGTGGTGATGGCCTTGCAGAAAATAGCTTAGGTCAGAGGCCGTCTCAGAAACGAGGTAAATGTCATCAAGTGTATCTTCAGATCACTTTATTCTCTTGGTTTTATTTCAGGATGCTAAACAGACCTAACATGAAACCCCGTCCTCATAGAAACACCTCTCATTAAAGCACGACGAACGTATGGGTCCAAATGAAAACATGTATTTATACGTACAACACAGCTGAATGCACAGGCGGTGGTTTTGCTTGTCAGCTTGTTTGTGTCGTGGTGGCGTGATGCTCGGTTAAGGCTGTGGTTTCAAAGCGCTAATACAGCACATGCTCTTCCTCGTACAGGATCAGACTGAAACTGGGCCAAAGTGTCTCCTCCAAAATGTGCTGAAGCTTCAGTGTACGTTTTAGAACATAATCATGATGAAAAAAACACGGAGGAACTTTAACGCCTGCATTTTATTTGGTTTGTGCAAAAAATAGCACAAAATACTACGAAGTGTGTCCACTTACAGGAGTCAGGAGTTAAGACAAGATAAATGAATCAGTTGGATGATTGCAGGTGAAGTCAGGTTGTCAGTTATCAGGACAAGGTGGCAGGTTTGTGTGTCGGCAAAGCAGGGAGGAGACGCTGATGCAGGAGCAGTTTTCAAATGGTTTAATGATGAACCTGAAGCTTAAAGGAAAGGTGGCAGGCAGGTCAGCACAGAAAACCAAAGAGCCGAGCACACAGTCTGTTGAGGAGTGAACTTGAAGGAGCCATGAACAGGGCTGTAGTCGTCCATGGGTTCAAATTCGGCTGTTTGCTGCAGGTCCATCCCTCCCTCTCTACTATCCTGTCCAATAAAGTCCAAAGAAATAATATTGAAAAAGAGTGAAATTGGAGAAAGTGGAGGAATCGGAGAGCAGGTCAGCTGGGTATGGAGGAGCCTGAAAGACTGAGGACCTCTGCTGGATCCAAGGAGAAAAACATGGAAACCAGCTCTCCGCTTCAACACATCTGGGCCACAGAACCTCTGAATCAGCACCTCTAAGATGTTCTGTCAGTGCTGCAGCAGCCTGATGAGGAGGTGAGCACAGCGTCATGTGTCCAAAGCATCACAGTGGCCCCAACTTTAAATCAAAGAGATTTAAAGGTGACCTGATAAATGTTTGTCCTTCACCGTTGTCCTGGATTCTTCACCTTGAATACGATCACCAAAGGGATTTTTAATTCATTGTTGTCCTCAGAGAGACTTTAAGCCTCAAATCTTTACGTGGAGCTGCGTAGGGTTGATAGGAGGGAAAAACACTGGACCTGCTGCTGCTCTGAGCATCACCAAGATGTCTGAGATGACTCACTTCACTTGTTTGCGTCACTTCTCTGTAAAAAGCATCAAAGTGAGACTACGCAACTTTTTAAAGAAATTCTACACAACAATGTTTAGTTTAATATTTTATTTGTGGGTTTTGATGATAGAACCTCCCCTGGTTTGGTATGATCAGTGGCTTATTAGCATATGGAAGTTTAATTAGAATGACTTTCTGAGTCGCTGCCACTTATGCTGGTGTTGTTTTAACATTCAGGATGTTCCTGTAGGGCTGCAAGGTGGCGCAGCTGGTAGCACTGTTGCCTCGCAGCAAGAAGGTTCGCGTCCTGGTGGGGGCACCGGGATCTTTCTGCGTGGAGTCTCCATGTTCTCCCCGTGCAGCGTGGGTTCTCTCCGGGTTCTCCGGCTTCCTCCCACAGTCCAGAAACATGCTGAGGTTAATTGGTGATTGTAAATTGTCCGTAGAATGTGAGTGTGCTTGGTTGTCTGTCTCTAAGTGTGGCCCTGCGATAGACTGGCGACCTGTCCGGGGTGTCCCCTGCCTTCGCCCTAAGTCGGCTCCAGCCCCCCCGCGACCCTGGTGAGGATTAAGCAGTGTATAGATAATGGATGGATGTTCCTGTAACCGTCTGTGAAGTCGTACCTGTTCAGCAGATGCTAAGTGTCTGCACACAGCATGGCATCCACAGAGTCACTGACAGTAAAGTTCTTGCTGGATGGATCTCACCAGCTCACACCTTTGAGAGATCTTCTGTCTGATTCAGCCTCTTGGCTTCTGTTTTTCTGGGTCGTGCATCTTGCACGTCCACCCACAGATGTCACTGCTGATGTGCTTCTTCAAGCTTTCACCGTCAACACAGTGAGAAACATCAGCAGGCTGTTTCCTCTGACAATGAAGCCACTCATAAACATCCACTGAAAATACATTTTCTATTCAAAAACTAACTTCCAAGGACGCTTTTGGTAAAACTACAGAATTGACGTTTTTCTTGTTGGAAAACCTGAAATACACTCATAAAATTATTTATATGAATGTTATAATGAAAAAAAAAAGCCAATTTGCACTCCCAAAGACTGGTGCAATTTAAAATTTCTGAATTAAAAGTAGAGTTAATGACAGCTTAGTGTCATTTATTTCAGCAGGAGCCACATGTTGGATAAATCATCTGTGCCAGAGCTGATGTTGTATCAAACAAAAACCACGAGAGGTCTCTGTAGCGCACATCTGCAACTCTTGGTGGCAGGAAGTGAATTCAGGTCTAAAGAGCACGAAGCAGGTTGGCACAGTTTGACATTTGGAATTGGGAAAGGTTAAAGGCCGCGGACGCTGCTGAATATGTGAACATAAGTGACAGAAGTCCACACGTGGCTCCACCCCGGCACAAGGTTCAGTTTGGATTACAAACACAGGCAGGCCTGCCCACGCAACATGCGATGGCACAGTTCCACACAGAGACACACACAGTGGAAAAAAGGAAGTTACTTTCTCGTTATCCGTTGGTAACGTTGATGATCATGTCTGACATTGTGGTTTACAGTTTTTCACTCGAGCGTAAAACCGGTGCGCAAAACACCAGATCTGAGCGTCAGGACCACGTAGCTTCCCAATTCATTTATTTGCTCCAGATATGTCTCCTCACTCCCCAAGTGTGTAGTAGATATCACTTAAAGACAGCCGCCCTTATTGCAGCTCTGAGCCTTGGTAGGTGAAAGCCCCCACACTTACAGTAAACCACTCCCGCTCCTGGATTGGGCGTGCGTAAAGAGCGCAGGTGTGATTGTATCCATTTCCAGCAGACTGTCTCCTCAAGGAGTCCGAAGTGAGGAAAAACACAGGCGAGGTTAAATTGAGGAAGCACACATTTACCTGCGTCAGGTGAGCTTTGAAAGAGGAGTAAGCAGAGACGCACGAAGGAGAAATAATCTGGAAAAGTTACGGATTGATCTTGGCACATTCTGAGCAGCCGGAGCGGATCCTTCAGGGTTTTAAA